GATTTGCCGAAGACGTGTCGTGGATATGGCACGCCATTTCGCCGCATCTGATTGGTCGGACGCGTGGGGCCCATGCAGCTTTACGCAGAAAGGTTGCGACTGCGAGGCTACGTTGCAGATGCGGCCCGCGAGCTCGCGACCGGACTCCAAGACGGCGGGGAGGGCAGGGCAGGGCAGGGGACGGCAATGTCGCTTTGGAGAGAACCTGGCGATGGGAGCGAGCGAGCTAGATGCTGCTGCTGCATCCGAGAGCTGTAGAGAGAACTTTCCGGAGCATAATAAGACTGTAAGGCCATGTCGCGTTGTCGATCCCACGCTATGTTGCTTGTCGCGATGGCCAAAGACCCGAAAGATGTTTGCATGGATCGAAGGAGGAGTCGTCTTCGTTCAGATATCACCTTTTCTCGCCCTCGTTCCGTTTGATTCACGCCGTGTGAAACTTCTCTTCCCCGGGCCTATAGCTCGAATTCAAGGCCCGCACTGCGACAGCACGGTGCGAATTCGTATCGAGCTCGCAAATTCGTATCCCACTGACGGGAAAGTGAGCGTGATTTCACTGCACAAGGTGCCAAAATAGTGTTGTCCTGAGACCCATGCAAATGCTGGCACACTACAGTAGCGTCGAGCGACTGACCAGGGTTTTCTCCCCCCACCCAGCAGGAGGCGATTTCATCTCGGCTGGTGAGCAGTGTGGCCATTCTGGACATATTCCACACAAAGCAGGAGTAAGTGGACAGGAGCTATGCCCCAGTCGTAAATGCATTGTCCTGTTGATATTTTCAGCGTCGACTGCTTTGTTACCAGGCCAGGTCTTCCCTGTTGCGAGTTCGTGGCTAGCATCAGAATCGACGGACGCATCATCTTCGTGTGTATGGAACAAGAGGGCCGCGAGTTTGATGTTGACCTTACGTACGTGGTCCTCCTTTGACTTCCTCATTCGGTCCACTTAATTGTAAAGAATGTAGGAACACTGCATTGTTAATGAGGCTCTAGTGTACGTTCTAAATGTGAAAACCCCTCGTGCGCGTACTGCTTAAGAAGGCATTGATCTACGAACGCAACAAGAAGCACATGGTTTTCCTGGCTGCAAGCTTTCCCATTAGGAGATTGATGTGTGTTCGCATCCGACCGCCATATACGGCAGTTTGGTGAGATCTCACTGTATGCATGAAGCTGACACCATGCCCAGCCTCAGATGATGCGAGGCTTGGCCATGCGTGTGGATCCACCTCAAGCATCAATTGGCCTTCTTCCTGGATGACAAGTGTATTCCAAATTTCAATGTCTCTCAAATGCCAATACGTGAATCCAACATATAAATCCAAGATGCAAAGCAAGATCCTCCAGCTTTTATATGATTAAGGTGTGGATATGCCCGTGTCGTCCGTATTTAATTGTATCTTCATGAAATGCAACTAAGCCTGGAAAACACTGGGCCGGTAGTTCCCTCCCATGGAAGAAATTCGAATTCATGTATCTGTACGTTCCGTATTTGTATATGCTTGCAAGGCAGCCGAATTTCCTCATTAAAATATCACGTCGAGTCGTACATTGTGGTGTCCGCACATTTCCAGTTAATGCAGTTAGCGCTAGGATCTTTCTCGCATATGGTACAGATCCGAGAGAGCAATCCAAGATGTCCAAATAAGCAGAGGACAAAATTCAGAATATTCAGCACTCACCAAAAACATCATGCATGTTCGGCATCAGGACCTGAAAAAAGAAGAAGAAGAGGAAGAAGAAGATAAAGAGAAACAAGGCTCTCAAGGATAGAGTGCCGTTGGACTTTTGTCACTTGTCTTGGCCATTTTCCTTGAACCCATTTGGAAGAGAGAGAGCAGGCACAAGGATATGGCTTGCAATGATTCGAAAACGGTAAAAGAGCCGAGAGAATTTGGCTTCGTAGGAAGACGTTGGAATGTGGCCATAGGACGAGGGTGCCTGCTTCCTGGAGAGAAGGAACTCCGTGACGGAGAGGCAGCATCTTTTTCATCAATGAGGCAAAAGTCGAGTCACTCGAAAACATGCCCAAACCAGAGCATGATTTCTGTGTCCGAACTCGATCGATGCACAAAGGTGAGGTGAGGCCAAAGGAGAACGACATCGGATGTCGATATCGTGCCGTTATGGCTGGCCCCCTCGGAAGTCCACCCAAGCTATCATGGAAATCTCCGACCCTCGACTTCGTCTATTCTGCGTCTGAGCTCCGTCGCTCGGAGGTCGGACGATGGGGCCTTCAACGACGTGCAGAACTGCGTGGATATGTGGCTACATCCTGCGCGAGATAGGATCCCGAGTATCTCTAGCTGGGCAGTAGTTTATAATATTCTGCATGTATGAATAATGAGGCATGAGGATGGAGGACCCTAGAAAGGTGACGTACCGAAGTAGCGTACATGGTAGAGAGTAGAGAGGAGAGAGTAGGGGCGAAAGGCAAAATTGAGGAATCCGAGAAAGGTCGGCTAGGCCAGGAATGGAATGGGAGCTGCATTATGCTTCGCCTGGGCCAGGAAAGGAAAAGAAAAGAATCAACCACTTGGCTCTTGTACGCCAACTGGTGGCCGGACTGGACTGACTGCAGAGTCCAGAGCGAGAGGGCTGAATCACCATGTCCAAGGCAAAGGGAGGTTCGTGTTTCAGCGGCGAGCGACTTCCGCAACCGAGTCCGGACAAAAGCGCATTTTGTGTAAAGAGAATGTTTTCATGCAATAGCGAGGCAAAAGCACGATGCGCGAGCCCCTGTGGGAAAGCATGAGTGGCCCAGAAATCATACACGACATTGACCACGGCTGCGTGGGCGCCACCAATTACCTCGCCTCGCCTCGCCCCGCCTCGAGAAACAGAGTGGAGAGTGGAGACCGCGAGAGATGAGAGAGACCCGAGCGAAAGAGAGGGCCGAGGTCTGGAGATCGGATCACGAGAGTTATACCTCGTGCGACAGCTATTTGCGAAGCCCCGAAGGGCCTTCCTGCCTAATAATAAATCGCGTGACAGTGAGACATTCGGCCGCACAGCAGATCTAATGCCCTCGAAGGATAATAATACACCTCCCCAGCAACAAATCCAAATCTTGTGCTCGTAGAGAATCACCTCCCGATCATCGCACCACCGAACCCCCCCCCCCCCCAGAGATGAGAACCTCGCTGCTGCGAGATCGCCGCTCGAAACCTTCACATGCCCACGATAATTTCATAACGCTACTACGCGTGTGCCAGAGTGCGGTCGAATTCCCGGCGCCCGGCCCGACTTCCGCGGGTGGGTACCTTCTTGCCTTGCTCCTTCCAGGGCAACCCGGTCGACTCGACCCGACGTCCTAGAGAAGAGAAGCAGCCCAGTGTGAAAGGGGGGGGGGGGCGGGGCCTTTGCCCAGAGCGCCGTGGTCGGTCAAACGAGCATCCTACGCGGTTCTAAAGGAGCACCACGTCGGACTCTAGTCGTGGGGTCCCGGCCCACGGCTACAGATTCGGGCGACGAGTAAAATAGTGAAGTCATCTACTGCGGCGGGCGGGGCGTACGATGACAACGACGGCGACGGCGACGACGACGACGACCGCGCGCGGAAAAGGCAACTGGGTAAATACGCTAGGTCGGGCCGCGAGTCCACTCACCCCAGTCGAGTCGAGCCGAGCTGAGCTGAAGGGGGGCATACAGACAGGCAGCGAGACATACAGCCAACGTCACATACGCACACACTGAGGGGGGCATGTGAAGTACAGTTGAGGACAGCGTACTGTACAGGCCCCCGCTCGGCACAAGTCTAGGGAGGGGGAGCTACGAGCAATCAAGGAGCGAGGACGAGGACGAGGACGAGGACGGTGGGGAGTGACCGGCAAGGGGCCGCGAGCGAGCGAGCGCTTGCTTTGTGGGTGGCGATGCGAGCGAGCCTTCGAGCCTTCTGGGTCACGTTTGTCCTTTTGGGCCGGGGCCCTATAACTCTCGCTCTGCCTGCCACTGCCATTGCCAACCTGCCAGGATTGCCAAGGGGAAGCTAGCAGCCAAAAGGTCTGCTGTCTTCAGCCCCTGCTATTGCTATTGCTCATCTCGCTCCACATCTCTGCTTCCTTCTCTCTCTTCCTCTTCCTCCACCTCCTCCACCTCCTCCTTCCATCCTTCCTTCCTTCCTTCCCTTGCTGCCTGCCTGCCTGCCTGCCTGCCTGCTCATCATCATCATCATTGTGCTCTGCGGTTTTTGTTCCGGCCCCATTCCTGGTTTGACGAGATTTTCCCTCTTCACCCGATCGCCTTCCTTTCTCACCAGTCCCCTCCCCCTCCCCCTCCCCTCCTCCATCTTTTCCCCTTCCCATCCCACCTCCTGATCGCCCCTTCCCCGTCCCCATCTCGTCCCCCCTCCCCTCTCTCCCTCCCCTCTACTCTCTTCGCGTCCCTAGTCTCTTCCTCTTCCTCTTCCCCTTTTGTGATTGGAAGTGCGATTCCCCCTCGCCCCCTTCCGTGCTGTCGTAGTTGAGGCATCAGTCACCAGTCACTCACTGCACACCTTCCCCTCGTCCTCTCGTCTCCTCCCCACTTTTCTCATCCCTCCTCATCCCCCGTCTCCTCTCTCTCCCCTCTCTCTCCCCTCCCCCCTCCCCCCTCCCCCTGCTTCCCCGTCCGTCCCTCTCTCTCCTCTTCCCTTCCCTTCCCTTCCCTCTTCTGGTCTGCTCTGTGTGCGTGTGCGTGTGCCTGCGCTCCTCAGACTCGTTCTGGAGTGAGCGTAGGAAAGAGGAAAGAGGAAAGAGGGGGCTATTTTTTCTGGGTTTGTTTTATTTGTTGGGGCCCGGACATCGCCGCCCGGATGAAGCTAGTAGCTCTTGTGCATGTGAATGGTCGTCGAGCAGAGCAGAGCTCTGCGAGTCGAGTCGAGGCCTGACGTGAGCTGCATTTTGACTTGCGCACCAGCTTCAGGGACGGTTCGACCAGCTGAGTCGTCTGCAGCAGCAGCAGCAGCAGGTCGGAATCGGGCGATTACTCGATTGGAGCGGGCGTTCGTCGTTCGGAGGCCTCTTCTCCTCGGCAGGAGCAGCATTGGCATGGGGCAGGATTGATTGATTGACAGACTGACGTGCGGACAATTACTCGGTAGATGGATCTAATCGTCAATCGGAATGTACATTGTTCGTCCACCAACTCTGTGCAGCAGCCGAAGGTGTTCCAGGGACGACAGATTTAATTAAGCAGGACCGCAGCAGCGTGGACATTGTTGGACAAGGGTTGCTCGTTTGGTGAGAGGGCGAGGCCGAGGCCGACAGGTGTGACAGTCAGTCTGTAAAACGGACAATTTCAGTAGTCTCTAATGTAGTGCGCGACGCTTCCTATGACCGCATGCCTGTCATCATATTCCCAATCCCAGGACAGGCAGAGAGGCGGTCGGTCGGTCGGTCGGTCGTCGAGAGCCTAGAGTAGCACCCCTTCCCATTCCCAATGCTTTATCGATAGACAGGGACTAGAACTGCTTCCCTTCCATTGCAGAGCGAGCATATCGGTAGTCTCATTCGTCGAAGTGAAGGCGGCCGTGACGATGCAGCCATCTCTGGTCACCCCGGTCGAGAGACCTCTGAGGAGAGTGAGCTCAGTGCGCTCGGCTCTGGAGGCGCAGCAGGTCGCCAGCAGCAACGCCGATTGCTTCCCGGTCCTCACGGACAGGGGCGACAACAAATTGGAAAAGCCCAGCGTGCCGTACATTCTGCCTCAGATTGCCCGCGGCGGGGACATGGGATCAATCAGTGAATCCGATTATGGCAACGAGCCCTTAGCAGGCCACCGGCGCACGTATTCTGCTGGCGAACAGGGCGTCCGGAAGAACCGCACCATCGTCTCATACTGTTTGGGTGGCATTCTCTCGTTGTTTCTGCTCGTTCAGATTGTCACCGGCGGATTGGGCCTTCTCTCCAACCCCAACGCTGTGAGCCCTCTCGCCCCCTCTTCATGAATGTCAGCTATCATTATTATAGTCGTCGTCGTCATAGTCGTCAGCAGCAGCATCATCATCATCATCATCTGCATCTGATTGAGAGTGATTGAGAAAGTGAGTGTCAGTTTTTCTCGTGGCTCAAATGCTTGAAGCACTCGCTGATTGGGAACTGTGGCTGCGCTGGATGGATGGATGCAGCTGTGTGGAGTGAAGCAGGTGCAAGCGGCATTTGTTATGGAAAAAAATCAAATCATGGAGGAGCAGATGAATCAGGTGGGCCATTGGAAGCCAGTGACGGTGCCTGTAAAAGAAGAGGCGGATAGTGAACCGTGGGCCTTGATTTCTAATAAACTTCAGGAGACTCAGCAATCATTGAAAGACAACACTGTGAGACAAACTCCTTCTGTGTACACGACGACGACGGAGGATCGTCGCACTTTCTCCTATAATGAGCAACCGAGGGAAGAGCGGCGAATTTTCGTTAGCGAGCAGGTGCGCGACGATCGTCAATTGGCCGACCCCTCGGTCCGGCCCATGGAAAGCAGACGCGAAGTGCACAGCGATACCCGAGACGAGGACCGGGGCGCCCTCGACTCCAGGAATGTGCAGTCTCTGGAAAGCAGACGCGATGTCCAGCGAGATAACGTCGTCGTCGTCGACGATCGTGGCTCCAGCCTCGAATCGACCGTGGTTCAATCTCAAGCCCAGCCCGTCGACGAACGAGCTTCCAGTTTAGTGCAAACGAGTGTCAAGAAAGAGGTACATTCCCTCGCATCTCAGCGCAATCCACAATCTGTTCTGCCCTGTCAGTGTCGGCGTGCACGTCGTCGCTCGCACAAAGCTCCAAGCCTCAAATCAAATTCATCATCATGCCATTGTATGCCTGGTATTTGATATTGCGTATGTCTATGACGAAAGAAGATGCAACAAGTGAGCCATTGATTGATTGATTGATTGATTGATTGATTGATTGACTGATGGTGTTGATTCGATCACAGGAAGACAGCTGGTTTCGACGACCCTCCTACAATTACGAGCAATGTATAGCCGAAGGACCCGGCCATCGAAGTACGCACGCTTTCTCTCTTCCTCCCTTTTCCTCTCGAGCTCGATCAATGGTCGGTTGCATGGACTGGCGGCTTCCGGTTTCAGATGTCAACCACAAAGCCTACGGATCCCGTTATCTCAAGCATTACAATTACATGAAGCTCGTCTCGTGGCCATCAGGATGCTTTGACTTTTTGGGATGGGCAGGGGTTGACGTATTTCCGAGTAGTATTCGAGGACAGCCGTACCAATTGTTCTTTTCTGAGAGGCCAATTGTGCAGCAGGCGGGCCAATTGTGAATTTTAGTCGGGTGCACGCACAATTAGACGCTGATTACGATTGATTTGTTTGATGTTGGGTACTGATTGCGATTTCGTATTCCAGGACCATCAGAAGCAACGGAAGGCTACTTGTTGACTTTCGCTAATGGCGGACTGAACCAAATGCGCACTGCTGTAAGTTTATTTCAGTCATCGTCGACTGCTTGACGCTTGCACTCTCACTCTCACTCGTGGACGGTTGGTCTCTCACGTACGTGCTCTAATGTGCTCTTCCTCGTGCGCTTGGATCATCAGATTTGCGACATGGTGGCCGTGGCACGTGTTATGAATGCGACCTTAGTGATTCCGGAGCTGGACCACACCTCGTACTGGGCAGATCCAAGGTGAGCAGCAGGTCGTCCCCCGAAATCCGAGTTCGAGAATGGATTGCGCCACCCTAGATTCTCTGACGATGTCCGCAGACTGTGTGTCCTCTGACGATGATGCCCTGCCTGCCTGTCATGTGGCCTTGCAGCGAGTTCGGCGATGTGTTCGACGTCGAGAAGTTCATCCGCACGCTCAGGGACGACATCCGAATCGTGACGGAGCTCCCCGCCGACATGCAAGAGCTGCCGGTCTACGAGATGGCACCGCGTTCCTGGTCCGAGGTATGGTTGGTTCAGATTGCTCTCGCTGCCCGCCCGCATGCGGTTTCGTTTGAATCAGCTGCGGCCCTCGCCATCGCCATGTGATTCTGATTTCGATTCTGGATCTGTGTGTGTGTGTGCTCCCGCAGACTGCCTACTACGAGGAGACAGTGCTGCCGCTTCTGAAGAAGCACAAGGTCATTCGATTCGTTCTCACCGACTCGCGCCTCGCCAACAACCGCTTGCCAGAGGAAATTCAGAGGCTCCGCTGCAAAGCCAACTACAAGGCGCTGAAATTCGAGCCCTCCATCGAGGACCTGGGCCACAAAATCATCAGTCGTCTTCGATCCAAGGGCCCGTACATCGCTATGCACTTGAGGTACGTGACGCAATCCGTGCTCTGATTGATTGATTGATGATGACCGAAGACGAGAGCCGACGGAGTGATGACGCGTTGGGTGAAATGTGTGTGCAGATTCGAGAAGGATATGCTGGCGTTTTCAGGATGCACATTCGGGCTGTCGGCGGCGGAGGCAGAGGAGCTGAGAATCATTCGATACAACGTGAGCAGGTGGAAGGAGAAAGAAATCGACCCCGTGAGCCGCAGAGCCGAAGGGGGCTGCCCTCTGACACCGCACGAGATCGGGCTCATGCTCAGAGCCATGGGGTACCCGAGGAAAACTTTGATCTACGTCGCCGCCGGGCAGATTTATGGAGGAGAAGCCCGAATGAAAACTTTCACGCAGCTGTTCCCCAATGTGGTCACCAAGGAAACGATCACCACCCCCGAAGAAATGCAGCGCTTCTCCGAATACCAAAACCGCCTCGCCGCCATCGATTACATGGTCGCTGTCGACAGCGATGTGTTCGTCCCGTCGTACGACGGCAACATGGCCCGTGCTGTCCAAGGTCACCGACGCTTCAATGGCCACAAGACCACCCTCATTCCGGACAGGTGAGTGTCGTTCCTCCACCGTAGCCCTCAACCATAGCCCAGTTGCCTTACCTTAGCGCCCGACTGATCTGTGGTGAATGTGGTGCAGAGTCGGGCTGGTGAAGCTGCTCGATCAATATCACAACGGCGAGATCGATTGGAGTCAGCTGCAAAAGGCGGTGCTGAGAACGCACCGAAACCGACAAGGATCACCGCACCCGAGAAAACCTCTGAGTCCATCGAGAGCTAAACTGGAAGAGAATTTCTATGCCAATCCCCTGCCAGGATGCATATGCGAGGTTGGCACCACCACGCAATGAATGAACAGCAGGCCCGACAGACAGACAGTCAGTCAGAACACTTGACAATTCCTTTAGCAGAGCATCGATAGCCCCACCCACTGCCCACTGCCCACTGCCCACAGCCCAAAATTTTTAGTAGTAGCTCATCCTTGAGTAACCTTCTGAGTTAGCCAACTGTGAATAGCATACAGCCACTATTGTTTCTAGTAATAAGCCGGGTGCAACCTGCGCTGGTTCTGGTTCTGTGACACTCGCACACCTCACCTCTCTCTCTCTCCCAAATCAAATTATGATTGTAACCAATAGTTGACTGGGTGCTGTAAAGTCTGCCAGACATCCCATACAAGCCCAGTCCGGTCCAGAGTGGCCTTGTACTAGTGCCTGCAGAAAGAAATTTTCACCCACGTCGTTACCCTGTGCTCCCGTTTTGAGAATTATTTGTAGCAGGTCCACAGATGTTTTTTCCCTTGCACCCTTGGCGGTGTCGGGCTCAGTACACGCCATGCCATGCCCTCGACCGACTCGATTGCACCTCTTGGTGAAAGTCTCCAGGAGAGCCCCTCCCTCACCTCCGGGTTCAAGTGATTCTGTACATTTCGGCTTTTACCCACTCTAGTCCCTTGACATCGACCTCGAATGTGATTATCGCGCAGTAGAGGAGGCAAGGCGATCGCGAAACATTCTAATAATGGTTTCCGGCATTCAGATGTTACTTGAGAAGAAGACGTCATGATTGATTTATTTATGTAGACCAGGTCCGGGTTTGGGCTGGTCAGGCAGACAGGTGTTCTCTAGAGTAGATAAAGTTCAAGCTTTTCCCCCATTTCTTACATACACGTCCGAGCTTCGACGATGCGATGGACGATTGGCAACCCATCGACGAGGTTCAGCTCTGCACGATCTTTCGCTCGTTGCCGCCAGCTCGCCAACCGCACAGACCCGATCTGGTCAGAGCCGGCGGCCTTCTTCTTCGTCGTCGTGCCCCTGCGATGGCTCAGGCTCAGGGCCTTAGTCGGGGGGGTCGATGCGAGTCGGCCGCAGGCACAGCTGACCGTGGTCGTGTTATTCAGCAGCATCGCAAGTTCTCCATCCACGACAGAGAGTCCGACCATGGCGATCACGAGCAGTTGGGGGATTTGTCACATTTGTGTCACGTGGAAGAAAGGCCTCGACGAACGGACGAAGGAAGGCCCGGCTGCAGCTACCACCCGATGGCTGGCTGGCTGGCTGGCTCGATGGATGGATGCCTGGCCCAATAAATGAAAGGTCTTTCCTGAGGTTCAGCAAGGATTTTGAGAAAGATGGAAATAAAGTATCTCCTCGAATTCCTCTTTCGCTCTCTGTCTGGTCTCTCTCTCTCGACCCCTTTCTCCATCTCCATCTCTATCTCCATCTCCATCTTTCGCTGGCTCGGGAATTTTGCGTGCTCCTTGCCACTGCCTTGTGTTCCATGTGACATCACTCGCGCCAATCCTCTTTCGAGTTCACAGGCCCCTGGGAAAGAGCCAACCAACTGCACGCCCGTTTCGAGGAATCGTGATTTTGGGGTTACGCATAATTACATTTCACAAGATCCTTGAGTCCTGAATATCCAGAGCACGCCTGATTCAAAAGGCCCGATCTCATGCAAGTATTCCCTCCCCCCCGTTGTCAAAGGTCGTATTCGAGGGAACGCCCTCGCCAGCAGAGAACGCACGGGTACACCTGTGACGGCCACGACACGAGAATTATGCTCAGCTCGAGCTGAAATCCGCGCAGATGGAGGACTTGGCCAACTGCATGCACGTAGAGCAGTAGACCGAGAAGATAGAGGGCCGGGCTCGAAGCTCGATACACCGAGACCGAGACCAAGGTCTGTTTGTGTAGGAAGGACATCATTTGAGCAATCAAGCAAGCAAACATCCGCGATTGTGGCAGGTGAGAAGGCCGTGGGCGCCTTGACCACCATGCTTGCCATGAACACCTACACAATCCCTGCCTGCTTGCTTGCGGAATCTCCTGGTGCATGATTATGACCTGGCAGCAGTCGCCGACGTCGGCCAGCAGGCAGGTGAACCTAAACGAAGCCAACCTTGAGAAGAAGGTGGTCACACGCATACCCCCCTTCTTCATGCGCACTTCTTCTCCGTCGCTCGCGAATCGCCTCGTCCGCCATCGCCACCAGAGAATTATGAATTATGCCTCGAGCACGAGGCCCCGCGAGTACGCCAAGTCTGATCGACACTCTGATCGGGAATCGGGATCTGCATACCGGTCAGGGCCTGCCTGCCGGCCTGCCGCTTTCCGCTTTCCGGCACCGTACGCGAGATTCTGTGCCAGGTGGAGGAGCCGCAGAGTGCGGCGGCCACAGGTCCGTCAGAAGTGACTGGACGAGCCAGGCGACTGTGCACGAAGCGCGATTTAAAGCGCCACAGCCCCGGCCTCTTTCTTCGGCGTATTTTCCGCCGTCCGCCTGCTTGCGTCACGCGGGCCGCAGCCCGTCTTCCCTCGACCGAGTTATCCTGGATGGCATCCGCGCTCTTGCGTCAGCCGCAGAATCTGCCTAGGGCCGCAGGCCCTGCCCACTTACCTCACCACGACGTCCTCCTCCCGTCAACTGGCGCCGGACTGTGACGGAGAGGACGCCTCCTCCGTTCTCCCCGGCTTGTATTGTACTATGCAGTACAGTACAGTATCGATAAAGGGTTCCGCCCCGGAAAGTGCAGTACAGTAGCTGTTACCCGATATTCACACATTCTATTTTTGTTCGGCTGCTTGCTTCTTTGTCGAACTTGGTAATAGCCGTTTGCTTTATTCTGTTCAAACTCGGGAGCAACAACACATTCAAACCACGCTTGTGTGCATTTGATCTTTTTTTAGCGTACATAGTCCTCGCTTAATAGTAAAAGACATAAAAAAACATGGGGATGAAAAGTGGCATCCACCAATCATAGCCCTGGGTTGCATATTGGGGCGACGCACCAATAAGATAGCAAAAAGGATCGGGAAGACATCCATCGAGAATTTCCGGGAGGAAACTACTCCGGGAGGATTTTCATGCAATCAATTGGTATGAATTATTAGGAAAGTGGAAATGAATTATGAGCAATACATAAGAGTGCGTGTGTATGCGATGTCAAATTAGCATTGAAAAATCTCGACTAGAAGAAGTTTCTCTAGATTAAATACATCATTTGCAATCAATAAATTGTTAGCATATGCTGTGTCTAAGTAGACCAAAACCTAAGTATCCATTAGCAATCCAAGAACGCATATAAAAGTTTTTCATTTCATACATCCCCTTTGAAAGAGATCTACTACCTATATGTTCACAACTTGGATGTAATTTTCAATAGTTCTAAGTATTAAAAATGAAATAGTGGAGATTGTCTTTCACTCTAGTATAGATTACTATGCAATTATATTGAAGTAAGAAAAATTTTTTAAATTGGAATACTAGTACTATCATGTGCAGTTTATAACAATAATAAAGTCTCTACTCACATAACACATAATATATTCCACGTCCTCAAACTCTGATTATCAATATGTATGTCATACCCTTTTAAATATAATCCAATTCTTAGGATATACTTTGTGTTTATTGTAGTATAATTACGAAATTAATGATCACAGAATTTGAACATCAATTATTGTTAAAAATCAAACTCAAATGAGATAAATAGACAATATAAATATACATATAAAAGTCAAAATTAAATATGAAATCAACACATAAAACATGATAATCATCATAAGAATCATGATAACTTGTATTAAATCATGTAACATTTCATGAAGTGATCGTAACATATTGAGATTTTAGTCATTAGATACACAAGATTTATATAAAAATATACAAAAACTGAAATTATTCACAATCAAATTGCAAAGAATGAAATAAAAATATAGTAAAATGGCAAAAAAATTACAATAATCTACATAATTTCAAAGTGAAAAGAATGTATATTACTGTTTAAAAATATTTTGCAAACCAAAACTTTTCCATATAACATATTTATTGACATAAATTATTATCTTGCAAAATATATAATTTTGACAAATTTTGTATGCCTATTTGGTACAATTGAGCTATTTGAATCCAAATTAATGATAACAAAATTATTTTTAGGTCAAACTTTCTCTATCAATTGCAAGATTTTGAATATATTTCATTTTTGCATTTTTTATACAATCAACAAGTACCTCATCATGTAAACGTTAAAACTCAGAACCAGTCACATCGACACCAGAGACACGAGAGTATAACGTGGTTCACACACTAGGGCTACGTCCACGGGGAGAAGAGCACTAGAGAGTTTACTATTTGAATGTTTGAAGTGAAGTTATTCTTATCACACTCAGGGTATATATATACCCAAGGTAGTCAACTACTCTAAGCTATAAATAGCTACATATGCGATTAACAAAGTTTAACTAATCTCAGTTAAATCTTAACCTCAGTTAACCTCAACATATCATTGTTAATATCATATTATGATTTTATTGTGTCGTAGTATGACTCATGTGCTTAAGTCAAGAATATATATTTTTTAAATCATTTTTTTGTGATTTTAAAATTTTTGAAAAAATAAAACACTTTATAAAGATTAATATGATCAAACTATACTAACACAAAGTTATTTGAAGTAGTTAATTAAAAAATAAATAATGAAAGAATGAACATGAAAATTATTTCCTTGCTACAAATACTTAAAAATTGTGTAAGATAATAATTTTTTTTAAAAACCAATCATAATCTAAATTATACTGTAATTTCAAAAATATGTACATAATTCATATTAAATCAACTAAATATCATGATATTTGCATATAAAATTTTAATTTATTAAAATAAAGTCTAAAAATGATGATTTAATAAACTGACAACTTTTTTTCATTTCTAATTTTTTATATTAAAAAAATATATAATTTTACTTAAATTATTTTCTAATAATTAATATATATAAGAAATATCAATTTTCAGATTATGTCATACTAATTTAAATAAATCATCACATATCAAATTTTGTATGCGAAAAATAATGTCATCATTTTGTTGCTTGAATTTAAAATATGTTTACTTATCATAAACATATTAAATAATATTTTTAAAAATAAATAAGGGTTAAATACTTCTTAAAAAATAAAAATAAAGGACTACTTAAATTAAAATAATAAAATTTATATTTCTTGATAAAATCCTCTCTTTACATACATGTTTTTTTATGTTAATTTTTCTACTCGAAAGATATTTAATATCAAATTTGATTATAAAATAATTGTAAATAAATTTGATGGGTTTAACATACAATCAAAATTGAGGGCAAAAAATTTTTAATTTTTAAAATTAAAGATGTAAGTTAATAAATAATTAAAAAATTATGGCAATTATTTTAAACTATCTATAATGTATATTTATATGTTGTAGATAATTTTTTTAAAAATACCATGAAAGTGAAATATGCAACTGGAAAAATGTCAAAAGTAATTACTAAAAGTTTACAATGTTAAATATAAGCATTATTCTTTTCAGAAATATCGTAGGTGAAAAAAAAGTTTCATCAGTATATAAAATTTAAATAATTATCATGTCATGAGATTTTTTTTATAATTTTCTTTAGAATTAAAGAAAAATATATTAAAAATATATTTTATATATTAAAATTAAAACATTTCAAATAAAAAGATTATTGTGTGCTAAAAAATATTTTATATCATCATAAATTCATTTAAAAAATTTAATAAAATTTTCATGTTTATAGGAATATTTTTTTTGGCCATATTAATTTGAAATCTAATGATTTAAATCATACACTTCATATTTTTATTAAGATTTTTAAAAAATGAATGAATTAAAATGAATTTTCACAGAGTACAAGGTGGCATTTAAAAAATAAATTAAAAATAAATCATATAACAAATATTTATCAACATTTGAAATTAAAAAATAAAGTTAAATGTTTTTCAATTGACATTTTTATATGTAGCTATCAAATATGTTGACAATACAAATTTTTAATAAAAATAATATATTATCAAAGTTATATATCTTGCAAGTTTGCTCTATCATTTGCAAGATTTTGAATATATTTCGATTGTTACTTTTTCTTATACAATCAACAAACACATTATCATTTTTACTATTATCATTAACTTACAAATTTATTGTATGATTGTTGGACTCATGTGCTTAAGTTAACCATATATAATTTTTTTAAAAATAATAAATTTTTTTAATAAATGTTTTTATAATTAAATGTGATCAAATCAAACTGAACAAATTTTTTTGAAGTACTATAATAATATTAAATAATAAAGAATAAAAATATCCATCAATTTTTATTACTTGCTACAAAAACTTTAAAATTTTATCATGCAATTAATCTGTTAACAATTACAATTATATTTTGTTCTAAAAAAACTAACTCGTTTATTTTTAATCTAAATAAATATCATAATATTTTCAACATATTTTTAAAATAATTTAAAATTTAAATTTAAATTGTTAAACTAAACACATTTATTTATTAATTTAATTTTTTAAAATCATTAAAAAAATCATATTAAATAAAAATACGCTCCTTGAAGCATGACGTGAGAGTTTTCACAACTCTCTACAAGTATATAGTAAACTCAATAGGTGGTGATTTAACAATTCAAGATGTGTTAGTACTATGAACCAAGACTTATAAGATATATATAAGATATTTTTTGTGACAGCAAAGTCAAGCTCAATCATAATAAACATTGGATTACAAAAATTTTATTTTATAAATTTTAGTCTTTATCAATTTTTAATATACTAGAATTTAACTTAAATTAGAATAAGGTTACGGTCGTAAGAGTTTTACTTACTCGCACACGCTCATAGAACCCCATGTTTTTTCCTACTGGAAAACACGTTGATTTTAATTATCCCACTGGCAGAAAAATCGTTATAAGGACACAAGTCGAACCCAATCCACTCCGAAAAGACTCCAGGTCGACGCTTACGGGCAGTCACTCTACTCCCAACGCTAGAGTCTCGACTCAAATAACTGACGTTTTTCGAGTCGTCGTTGATCCTATATACTCAGAACTGAAACCCTATCTCAACGTCTATATTTAGTATATACGGAATACATGAAAACGTTCATAGCCTACAGATTTTTTTGGCATATCGCCAAGAAGATACTATAATTATTTTAGTAGAGCTATTTCATCTCACAAGGGCGTCTTGGTATCTACCAAGTGAAAAATTTACTCTTTAAGTTTTCAAGTATTATTGAATGTATTAGTCGAAACTCTCTCAATAAGAAGTGTTTCAGAGTGTAACGTCCAAATGTCTCCCTAAGAAGAATATGTAGCCTCATCTCACACATTATCTACCAACCAAACCTAATGATCAATTCATCATTCTCATATTAATATGCATATATATTAAAAATGTTTTTATTTTATTAAACATATAAAATAAATTGTTGTGCAAATATTTCTTAAATTGTATTCAATATAAGTGTTTGGAAATTTATAATATTTATTTATTAAATATATTTAAAGCTCATAAAACGATGAAATATATCATAATATAAATTGCAACTAATCAAAACAAATATTTAATTAAAAATATCATTGATTTTTTCTTCTAATCAACATAATGTTCTTATCAAATTTTGTTCTACATAGAAGCTAAACATTATTTTATTCTTTATATAAAAAAACCAATTTTATTGGTTTTTTTGGGTTAATTTTAATATTGATAACTCAATTAAATTATGTAAAATTATATTAACACAAATTTATTTTAATTATCGTTTTCAGGGACTGTATTTCTTGTATTTAATTTTCTATTTTGCAAATTTTTATTTAAAAACATATATGTAATATATTGTAAAAAATCTACAGATTATTACAGAATTTTTTTATTATTCCTATGATTTACATGCAATATATATATAGATATATATATTTAATTACATGTATACTTTGAACAGCCTGAAGGAGAACATGCCCAATTACAGGGCCTCTTTTCAAAGGTCCCTTATGAAGGTTAATCATATGGTTGGGATTAAAGGGAGTGATTTTACGAGGTTACTTAGGTACGAGGAAGGAAGAACCATGTCAGTCGGCACGGCGAAGACCATGGTTGGACAAGAATGACGAGGTGGGAAATGGGAACGACGTGGCACCTGCCTACTGTGCCTTATATCCCAAGGCAGTGCAATGGCACTACTGCGTAAAGCGACTGCAAGGGAAAGAGCTTGGAAGTAGCTTCAATGGAAGCGGCCTGAGCTTTTGGCTATGGTGGTCACCACCCTATCCACATTGCTCGTTGGTCCACTGGCATCCGCAGCAAATCCTCCTGGCTCCTAGCACAAAATAATACGACGGACAGGAGGCAGCTGGCTGACGGCCCTGTCGGTGTGTTCGTGTCCACGGTGAGCACGCTCTCCACTGTACTGTGCTGGAAGGAACTTAGCTGCCCATTTTCTGGTTTTAGATTGGCATTAACAATTCTCTCATTGCGTGCTTTAGCGAAGGATTGAAGAGGTCATCGTAAATACACGAGCATTTCAGTCACTTCGTCTAGCGCAATGTGAGTTGGAAGTGGATAGACGAGATTTGGGCAGACAATAAGCTGGAATTTGTCCGTATTTTGACCGTAAATTTCCCTCTCAATGTCAACCGGTGATTGTAAAATGGAATGTCGCTGCGGGTTGCCTCTGCTCATTCCAAGCAATCGGTTCGCTTCTTTTCAGTTGTGAAGGAGCGTTTGCTCGTAATTTTTGAAATGCTCAGTGTGTTGGAGTATATTGTGATTCTGGGCTTCACAATCACGCATGAACGACTTTGAAGATTTATTTCGTTCTTCTAGGGAGAATTGCCCTCTATATGTTGCAATTCAATTCACTCTTTTGACTGCTGGCTCACGCGGAATTCTCTCTGGTTGTTGTACTGCAGATATGTCCACAAGGCTACACCAATCAAAGGTAGCCACAGTCGTGTCTTACACGTTTTCTGGGACAGCGAATTCTCAGATTGGTGACGGATTTGTGAATGTGGAGCATGTGCATGTAGCGCTTGTTGTATGATACACGGCTTTGCAGCCTTCGGCTCAAAGTCGAATTTGGAACACAATGGGGACCTCGTTACTCGTATGCAGCACTGGTTTCCGACCTAAATTTCAGCAATTCAGCACTGTTAAAAATTGCGAGTCGCCGAGACTTGTTGTAAACCCTCGTCTGGCAAACCTATCAAGTTGGAAGCCAATTGGCTTGTCAAGCAGTCTGGTTTTGCAAAAGAGAAGTTCTTTAGCAAACGTGCCACGTTATAGAGATTTTTCCAAGGCTTCTCCTCTTGCTCGAGGGAAAGGTCGCTTTCAGTTCCGATGCACAGCAGAAGCTGGAGGGAGTTTACAATCGGCTTTGAAGTTTACTAAAACCATACAGACAGACTCACTGCCTCCTGCTGTACGAGACAACACAATGAAAGCGATTGATGACCTTGGGGGTAGAGTCACCAACGGTGATGTTGCTTCACGAGCTGGTCTGAAAGTGACCCAAGCAGAAAGTGCACTTCAGGCTCTAGCAGCCGATTCTGATGGGTTCTTGGAGGTCAGTTTACATGTGATACGTCTGTGTTAGTACTGTTTGTACATTTGAATTATTGTTGAAGGGGTCACTTGATGTGAATGGTTCTTAAAATAAGCATGTTGTTCATAGCATTTGAACCTCTCCTGGTTTGTCACGGCGTTGGATTTTTAAAGATATTGATTCCTTCAATCTTTAGTCCAGATTTGTTGTCTAATTTCCAGCCTAAATTGCTTGTCCCGCATCTCTTGCTCATACATTCTCGTTTATCGTCTCGATGTGGAGGCTATGTAAGTGGTTCCCCTCATTTTCTTACATGCCCCTAGAGGTTTTTGAGAGACAGGTTCTGCATACCTTATCGTACTGCTTCTATCAAACGGGACAGTCAGAATTAGTCTTGAGGAGATCTATGTGGTTGTTTTTCCTTTCAGGTTTCAGATGAAGGAGATGTTCTTTACGTTTTTCCAAAGGACTATCGAACAAGACTAGCCTCAAAATCTTTAAGGCTCAAAGTAGAGCCTGTGCTGAACAAGATCCAGGTAATGATAGCTCATCATGATTGTCACTCAATTTTCTTATCATTATTGTCCTCGTCACATCTACTGACAAATATACATCCTAATTGACAGGCTGCCGGCGGTTACTTAATCAGAGTGTCGTTTGGCACGGCCTTGTTATCATCTATAGTCATAGTTTACAGCACCATCCTCGTTCTCCTCTCGTCCGGAAGAAGGTACTTGCTTTCATTCATACCTGCATTGTGTGATGTCATGTTAATTGAATAAGACGGACTTAAGAAGTCCAAGGCGTTGAACATCTCAGATCCAGTAAGTAGGTGAGAATATATTCTCTTGGCGCTGCAGACTTGATGGAAGAGCTTACATCGTATGATGGTGTATTGTTTCCAGCGAAGAAGACAACCGAGGGAACCGGGGGGGCTTTGGAAATCAAAGAATGAACTCCGGAATGTCATTCTACATCAGCCCTGCTGATTTATTCTGGTTGGTGTTACAACCTTGATGACTGGTTGCGTGGATGAAAGCATATTAAATTTTACTGATTGTACATACTCTCGTCTGATTGCATTCTACGTGCCTCTAGAAAACGAAGACTAAATCGAAAGTAGTTTTTGGCAACGATGTTTGCCCTTTAGTTTCCTTGTTTACGTACATACACGTGCACTAATATTCTTTCTCAAGAATCATCAGTTTCTTCGCCCGAAGGTTTTGAGGAGTACAAGATATTATACCCTGTGTAAATATAACTCTTCTTGCTCTGACTTTTGACCTGGTTTTTGATGCCTGCTTAACTTTGGCCCTGAAGCTTCAATCATGAACGTAATGAGGTTACATGCTCTGTACGAGCAAATTGTTTTCTGTCTGAGTGACCGAGACATCGTCGTAATCATGAATACTTGCCGAATCCTTGAGAGTGCATGTCGTGCCTACCCCGCCTTACACCATAACACGGGCTTATGCTGTATCATTTCTTAGTGAAAATACAGGCTTCCGTTTCTGACTTGCCCATGTGCTGCCCGTTGCGTTCCATTGTTCTATGAGATTTATGTCTGCTGTGACACAGTTCGAGGTATTGTAATATATTTGCTCCTCGGAATGGATTTGTTCTCTCAAGCTGCAACCTGAATATCGTAGTGTTTCACTGGCTTGGTCCTGGTTGCTCAAAGTAGTGCATGTTGCAGTGATAAATGTCATTGTTCTCTTGCGTTCTGTAGCAATTGAACGTAACTTTGTCATGTCGGTTATGGGTAATTGTCATGGTCTTTTTTTATCACAACTAGGCTACTGTCATGATCTCCATACAGTGGATTGTGGAGTCCAGATCTGTGTGTGCTGAGATGATATGGTCGTCGAAAGCCCGTAACTTACACAGCTGTCCTTCTGTGTCAGCTTTCTGGGTTAAGTGTTCGGCTGATGAGAGGTTCGTCCATTGCTAAGTTTATGCCTTCTCATTCTCTTCGCACAAGTTTTAACCTAGCTGCAAGTCGTTTGAGTGTTCTGTCGTTACATAGTCGGAAACATGGTTTTTGGGAAGATTACCCTACTCTAGAGTCCATTTAGTGTTTCAACGTTGTATTTACTTGTTAACGCGTTGAGCATCCAAGGTTGAGTTGCCCCTTTTTCATCATTTTCGACACCGTCGTAAGTCATATGTTTCCAGAGTTTGTCGTTTTTTTTCGGAGGCTTCATTGGAATATCTACAAGATACTCGCACATTTTCTTGACTCTGCTCCTCTCGTTGCCCTTCACCACCAGTCATCCGTAAAGCTTATAAGTGTCGGGAAAGTTTGGGATCTGTTTCAAGATTGTTTGGAACATCATGTAATTGGCTTTATGACAGAGTCATACATCGCTTGTGACAGTAACATCATGAATGGGTAATTTAGTAGGGAAGGCTGTGTGGACGTTGCAGGAGCTTGAGGCTGCAAATTATCGTTCAGACCTTTATTTGTATGGAGAAGGTGATGCATACAGATTTAATTCCCAATCAGGTCGTCAAGCGCAATCCCACATCGACGCGCTGCTGCCTTTTTGATTCGCAACCGAAATTTCCCCATAGCCATGTGGCAAGAATGTGCCATAATTTCTCCTTTCAACATTCAGCGGCGTGAAGTCCAATGCCACTACATGGCTACTTGTGTGGTGATTTAGAAGGTCTTGAAATTGACTGACGACCTAGGCTGGGTCCGCGGATTATCATCGTTTTTTTAGATTTGCGGTAATGATACGAATCTTGTGCTGAGCATGAGTCAGTCAATGTCGTTGTGCCAGTCATTGGAACTTGGTTTTGCCTTAGTGTGATCAAGATCAGTTTGAACCGGTTAGTTCGAGGCGAGCCGGGATACCGCGGCAGAGGAACCAACAAGAAGGGAGATACTCCCATAGCGCAAAAAGCCCGCTTTGCCACTTGTCAACTGCTAAAGCAATGACAGCGGGAGATCAGTATAGTATTTCAAAGGGTGCACCTTCCCGGACCGAACGAGCTGTTCTTTTTCTATTTCTCACCAATGCTTTACAACTTACGTTGTTTTCTTGATTGATTGAATTTTTGTCAATCGCGATCAGTGGTTGATGCGAGACTAGCACAACCTCTTGGTCCGAGCACAATGTAGGATTTGAGTCGCAAGGTATCGTTCAAGTGAGGTTTTTCCTGTTCTCTTGATTGGAGCGTTCAGTCACATCTTATAGTCAATGGTGTTTTCGGTCTGATATTCAGATCCCTCATTTGCTAATCGAACGTTCTCTTTCCTCGAAACTTGCCTATTCAATTTTTGCGGAATGAAGTAGTCCTTGTCAATTTTCGTCGGGGCTCTCGATTATATCAGATTGCGGATCGAACAAGTGGTTGTTGAATTTTGTCGGGCTCTTGATTAGATCAGTTTACCTCTCAACTATCAAGATCCACGTTAATATCGACGCCACTCTGCGCATAGGGATGAAAAGGCTTGAGGAGAAAGAGTCGAACAAATTGTCATTTGTAGCTAACGCCTTGATTTGAGTTTCCAATTCGGATCCAGCTATTCGAATTTTGAGCTGATGATGATGCTTGTATTGCTCTTCTGTTTATGCTATACTCGGACCGTTGCAGTTCGTAAGCATTTACACTCCCTTTGTACATAATTCTAAAAGGCTGAAGCACGAATCGTCGGTATTGTTTAGTCATGCTTGTTCTGGAATTTTATTGCTCTGGAAAATGAAAAGATTACAGCTCAGTATTCTTTCCTTTCGTTGGGTGGATCATAGAGATTCTGGCTTCTGTGAAGAGGTTGCCCACATGGACATCTACTAAGCACTATGGGCAACTTGTTGGCATACACTTTTCATCGCCTACTTTCTCGCGCACTGTTAGAGAGCGCAGTTGGGTGACGTATTTGCAAACACAGAAGCAAGTTATTATAGTAGGTTTATTTATCCAACTGCTTCCATTTAGTCTTCATGCATATTAGGTGTTTTGGGTTGTCCTGCGATTAGGGCTGGTACAGCAAGTGCCTCTATTTGGAATGATAACAAACAAACGCAGCTATTTTCTTATTCCTACTTTCCTTTTTCCTAATGGACATTTACCTTTATTCTAAATTGAGTGGTAGAACCGGAGATACTCAGACGTAGCAGACAGATCGATTCCTCTCGCAGGCCAAGTAGAGCATGCCGTCCAGCAGGCACCCTACTGGGTCTATCAGCTGATATTGTGTCTGAGAGCATATTACTCTGCTGGTAGTTTACAACCCAAATCTGGAAGTGGAAGGTAGACACAAGTGCGGTGGCGTAGGTTTTATTGGCAACCTTTTGATCCGTATGCTCTCGTAAATTCTGGCTTCGTGATCACGGTTAAGACTACATATTCATGCTTAGTCCAAGCTTCTTGTTGTTTCGTTCTGTTTTTGATCATCAGAAGTTGCCTTTAGTTTAGCAGTCACTCTACTGGGCCTATCAGGTACCATTATGTCTGTGCATATTATTACTCTTTTGATGTGTCTGCCGGTATGTTTGGTTTGTTTGGTTCTGTTTTTGATCAATGAAGGTTGCGGCCCTTCTAGACAGTCCATTATTTTGTACCATGTAATATGAAGACTCATGAAATCGAAGCATCAAAGTTTGACAGTGATTTAATGTCTCCTGTTCTTTTCCTCTAGGTTTTGGGACCCGTATTACAATCGGAGGCCAAGGACAAAAGCGAAGGGTGGAATGAACTTTTTTGAATCGGTGAGGAGTTTTCTAGTACTGTTGATTTCAGATGAGTGCAATTCTGGCCGTCTTATAGCTATACACTTGATAGTGTTTAACATCTTTAATCTGGTCGTCGAATGCCTAAATATTGGACTCTGCCCTCAATGTTTTTGACTATTTACACACTACTCATCGGTAACAGTCAGTTTCTTCCAGGTATTCTCTTTTGTTTTCGGAGATGGCGACCCCAATGAGGGTTTGGAGGAACGTAGATGGAAAGTGGTGAGACTCCTGCATATCGTTTTGAGTGTTTGAGACCTTATCACAACAGTCATTGTTGTTGCATTTATCCATCATAATTTCAAATTTTTACTTCTGGTGGTGCAGATAGAGAATCCCTGTTATATGACGGTTATTATTATTGTTACTCCATCCCTTCTATTCTTGTCGTGTCGAGTTTAGTTTTTTTGAATTTGAACTTCAAAATATAGTGCAATTTGATAGCTACCACATCTCGAACACTTGATTCACATCTGATCAAGAGTACATTATTATCAGAGCAGATTGGAGATCTTATATCTAGCAAGGGAGGTGTTGTTACAGCTGAAGAGCTGGCCCCTTATCTTGAGGTGCCACCCGTAACAGAGGAGAGCAAGGTTGGTACATCCAATTATTTTGCCTGAAAGTGATGGAAGTTTAGTAAGTGTATCGTGCACATTTAAATCTGTTGTGTAGACAGCGATGAATGCCAACTGCTCACGGCTCTTAAACTGATCCTCCAAGTCAAGTATTAGTGTGATCAGGAAAATGACCTTTCAACAAGAATGTTGTTATGCCGTGGGTTTTACGTTAAGTGTGTCCATTTGTAATTACACATCTGATGATCTCAAGTCCACATGTCTCAACAAGAAAACTTTTTTAATAACTTATGCACCTGTCAGCAGAAGGATGAGGCTTTCGTTTTACCCGTGCTGCTTCGATTTGATGGTTATCCCGAGGTGGATGCAAAGGTATGACGCTTTCTCTTGGGTTTGATGTCATTTTGCGGCGCCATTTGACAGCAAATGATGATATGAGCCTGAAAAGTGTAAGCTGCTCATAACCTTCATATTGTACCACAGGGAAACATTCTCTATCGTTTTCCGTCTTTGCAACGCACAGCCAATGACTGGATTGGACAGAGGAAAGAAAATTCCGAAGATACTTTTTACCTAGCAGAACGCCGTTGGAACTTCAGGTACATGTGGACTTTCAAGTTTCGAGAATACTACATCCTTTTTTTTTCCTGAAATTTACGGCATGACGCAAATTTAGGGCCTTCAGGTCAGAAATATGTACTTCAACATGTTTAGTCTTAGGTAGAATACGTTGTTTCGCTTCGATGTTCTTTTTACACTAGCTTTATATCTTGCTCCAGTCAAGCAGGAAACCTTTTCCCTGAAGCTAATAGCTGCTTTAAAACATGGTGTGACAGTAAAGCAAATAAGATGGAGCAAGCGCTTGTAATTGGCCTGGGTGCTGTCAACCTCGTGGGCGTTGTCATTTTGGGCAGTATGTTGCGGTACGTGTATGCACCTCTTGTACTTCCTTCTCTCGTCGTGTTTTGCATTGTCGTTATGAGTTACTGCGAAGAAACTGAGAGTGTTGTTGTTATTATTCTCCAGGGATTTAAATATTGTGGGGCAATTGAATGGAACTGGTCTTATTCCATTTGCAAGCAAACTTCTGCCATGGTTACAGGTATGTTGCCATACTAAAACTTTCAGCCATCGGCTGCTAAAATGTACATGATATACTTTAGTTCAGTGGGCTGAATCGTCTTCTCAGATTAAACCGTAACTGGTGGCATGTGTTCTCAAATCAGGGATACACAGCAGCTTTTTTTGCCATACCAGCCTTTCGGTGGCTTCTGCTCCAAAAACGGAACACTGAAATTGAGGACAGGAACCGTGCACGTATAGGGTGGGCTGTGGCACTTCAACGAGCGAACAAAGCTTTGCAGGAGAAGGTAGGGGATTTGTATTTCTTTATACTTTGGCTGGGATTTGTCTTTGTGATTGTAGGGTGCAAACCAATTATATCGCAAGTGAAAGTAGTTTTTTTCCAGTTTGTAGCTTTTGGAATTCTAATGCGGATCATGTAGAGTTTTGACACCGTGTGCTTGTGTTCTGTGACTGAAGCTTTCAAGTGCACGGGACTTGGCCCAGCGAACTTTTATAGGGAGTGACCGCATCATATATTCAACAGAGAAGGACTTTTCAGAACAAAGTTTTGAGGCGCGTGAGTGGGATAAGCAGTTGAAGGAGAGGCAAACAGGAAAAGGTTAAGTCTTCCATGTTTATGAAAGGCTTGGCCCGGTATAATGTGTAAAATTGATTTACCATCTTGTTGATGATTGTATTATACAACAAAGAGGCTTCACATGAGAACTACAGATGTATATTCAGGGTACTCCTTGCGTGATGAACACCAAGTGTGCTGGATGATAGATAAGTTGTAACGGGTCAGATTCAACCCGGATTGTCGTCCGTGTCTTTGGTGGATGATACTTTTCTTGGGACAGCACATGCAGATAAAATCTTACAATGCACATGTTTTGTGCACTCTTCTTCACCAATTGCAAGCAGTGCTTGAAGTTTCTTCTACATGTTTGTCACCGATCATGATTTTGATATTTTTCCAAAAGTTCCCTCTAGCGTTACTTCATTTCAAGAGTACTTGTATATTGTGCTAACAGTACGATGTTCTCAACTTTTAAAATTGGAGATGTAGGTGAAGGATTGAAAAGTGGTTAATGTAACCTATTAATCGTAATATCAAAGTGGAACTCATATCTAAACCCGGAATGTGGATTGTGAAAATGAAATGTGTATAATTGCTCTTCGGTGGTTGTTGCTCTTTCGTACTGCAAAGAGTTCAGCGTTTTCAAATTGGAATCTCAAACTCAAATGCTCTGGCGTGAACATCAAAGTGGATCATCTGTTCACTGCCTCTGAACTCTCTTCAAAGCCCTTGCTACTTTGATTCTCGACTCTATTTTTCCACTTATAACAAATTTCATGAAACCATTTACAGAGATATAATCATTCCGCGGGGAACGTTGCGGGCTACGTGGTCAGTAGTTGCGAACTTTAAATTCCACTCATGGTGATGCTTTGAAGAGAATGCTGTTAACTCATTCACATATTCACGAAGGGAGAAGGATTCGAATCCTCGGTATTCTCAACTCTTCAATTTTCAAGACTGTTCCTTCTGCGAAATCCATTTCCATTTTCAGGCTTGTTGAAATGTGTGCGATTCACGCAGATCAACACGTGTTTACGATTTCAACATAACATTACCAATTTGTGGCTTCTATTACATCCTGGAGACTTTGCACACATGTCATCGCTCAGCAGTTAGTCACCGTCGATATACACTGCTGTGTTCTGCACACTCATTTACTCTACATGACTGTAGGCACTCGGAGTTACATTTGCGATAGATTGAAATGCGGTACAATCGTCCCAAGCCACTGGTTAACATAACTTGGTCAACATCACAAACCATTAGGCCGATTTCGGGAGCCTATAAGCAGCAACTGCGTTTTCAAAAGGGAAGCCTAGAGCTCAGGCACAGCTCACAAGGGGAGCTGTACCTGGATCACGACATGGGACTAAGCGAGTGAGAACTGTAGGGTCCAAGCATTGCACATGCACACTCTTCGAAAAACAAGCATGTCGCACATCGTCGTTGACTATTGACCGAGGACGCTCCATTCATTCATTAGCTGATTAAGTCTGTAGCCTTCGGCTTTTCCCGTGCTATATCCGATTTATTGCATCGTTATTGTAGCAGCATGAGCCGTGATTGGTACAATGTCCTGTCGTGTACAGTCCAGTCCGCCATAGAGGGTGGAGGTGGGAATTTCTGTCAACCACATCCATTCGGTCACCACAGTCAGGTAGTCACTGCCCTCCTGCAACTGCAGTTGTGCAGTCGTGTCGACGACTTGTTTCATGGGTCTGGGTTGGAGAGGGAGGCAGTCAATGTTTCTCTCTCTCTGCTCGTCCCGAATGAATGTAGCACCGGACCTGGGGTCGTCTTTCTGACTCTTGTTGTGGCCGCTGCCGATGCGGATGATGCTCAGAGGTGGTGGAGGTGGTAGATAGATGGTGCTATTGTCGTCAATCTCCGCTGCTTTGGCTTTGCTCTGTGCAGGCACAGAGAGCAGAGCACCAAAGCCGCAGGAGGAGCAGGGAAGAAGATAGAGGCAGGGGCGGGCAGGCAGGCAGGCAGGCAGGCAGGAAGAGGGAGGCAGGCAGGCAGGCAGGCGAGGCACACCGAGGGGAAGGTGGGCAGGAGGGAGAGCTCGTTCTGGTTGTCGTTGTTGTCGTTGTGTCGCTGGCGTACATGTCTGAGGCCGGCAAGGTCCTCTGGAGCAGTCGTCAATGGTGGTGGTCATCCCGCACTGTCGTCGTCTGATCAGCCGCGAGAGGTAGCACAGATTCTTTGACACCGTAATTCCGAGGGGTTGATTTGTGGTCGTAGCTCGAGAGGAGAAGCGGAGCGTAGATCTTTGAATATTTTTCAGCTTCCGAGAGTTCAGCCAGGTGGGCTGAGTCGAAGCTTGCGAGAGCCGAAGTTTGCCAGTCATGCATTCGTTCGTATTCAGAGCCAATGCGGTGCTCACTTTCGGCATCACCGTCCTTGCTGCTCTATGTATTCTGGCCTCGCTATCCGACAGTTTTCATTCTTCGCTTCCTGATATCAACCTTCAGGTATTCCCCGACGTATTCCCGGAGATGTTCGTTTTCGCTCCTCTTGGTTTTGAAGAGCCGAATCCTTTAACCTAATCAAAGATGGCTTGAAGTTTTACAAACTAGCTGCCTTAGTAAATAACCTGAGCTTTACCTGTTCCGCATCCGAAATTTCTTCCGCGTCTAAAGGAAAATTGAGTTAATGTTTATGAACTAACTTGTGCGAAAACGTGATTGGATTGCGCCGATGGTGCAATTGGTAAATTTCTCAGTTGTAAGTGAAACTTACAAATGGGCTAATTCCGATGATGGAAAGTATTTTCTGATACAAATCAGTCGTAAGGGAGTGGGAACATTTGGGCCTGCCAATACACTGACAATTTATTCGATACCATGCATGCTGCTCCGATGAAGTCATCGCATAATACTTAGTATCAGTTACCATGTTTCTGTTTTCTGAGACGTTTGTGATGTTGGATAGTGAAGTAAGAATGCCACTGTGATTCTGGTCATCTCGCAGGTCCTGAACGTCGATGTTTTGCAAAGACTGTCTAACGGCAACGACGAGGTGTGTATACAACATTTCTCTTGTCCTTACATGTTAGCATTTCTCGGTTTACACTTATACAACAGAAAGATGCCGTGAGAACCGATTCTTTTCAACCTCAATATTTTAGCTCAATGTTGACTATCTTGAAAAGAAATTAGCTGCGCGCAATGTCAGTCTCACCTTAATGCAAAATTGATGCTTGTGAACTTTAACTTAGTATAGCATTTCACAATATGGACGTATTATGTCACATCTGCACAAACCAGAGATCAGTTCCAAATCATTTATCTGAATTCACTACTAAAAATTTTGTTGCTTCAGGCAAAGTTGACTTTGCACATATCGGCAGATCTACGTTCAGTCTTCACCTGGAACACCAAACAGGTGCATGTTACTCCCAATTCAATTGTGAAGTAGTAGGAAATCGTCACTTGCCTTCATGATTGATTTCATAACCTGGCATGGTAGCTATTATCTTTTAAAGACTAACTTCATGTATATGTTTTCTGACCAGCTATTTGTTTTCGTCGCTGCTGAGTATGAGACTCAGAAGAACCAGCTCAATCAGGTCAAACCAAACTCTGATCCTTGTGCATCCTGAGTTTATACATTCTGGAATATTATGTAATTACAGGCTTTCATACCCTAGTATGCGCGGTCTTCATGATTCCATTCTTGTCGATCCACTCTGATCCAGCGACTGATCTCAAAAGGCTATCAATGTTACACATTTGCAGTTCTGTAGGGGCGCGTTTTAATTGGGGAATTTCTGGAAGCGGTAGATCGCTGCATCGTAATTGCTCTTTTTAGCATCATGATACTGTCCCATCAGTTGAATCTTTATTTAATTCCTTTAGTCACTTAATACGTTTCACTTAAACAGACTAACGAGATTTCTTCCCATTGTGCGTAATGGGTGATTTGAGTGAACTCTCTACCGGAACAAACTCAATATCGAGTGCCACCCTATATATGAGACTTATTTTAGAATTGTTGAATTTAGAAAACGCTGAATTTAGAAGTGTTGAATACGCCGCATCTATCTGAACAAGGCAGAAGGGATAAGGTCATTTTTATGTAAGTTCAGTCTTCTTTTGAATGACGACGCTTACATACAACTTGTCTATTCTACTGAAAAGGTATCGTTATGGGATTTGATCGTGGAGAGGAAAGAAGATGCCAAAATTGACCTTCGACGAAGAAACAAGTATGGATTTGTTGATCAAGTAAGTGCTTTTTTTAACTTCGCTTCTCTTGCTTCCCAGTTCTCCGCTCAGTTATCGCGTTATATCTGACGAATGTTTGGTCATTTTAATCGCATCATTTAAATGATCATTGTGCGTCGAGTGCCATCTTCGCGTGTAAGAGTTTTCTTGCATGTGATTTAAGAGCCACTTGTGAACTTTTGTTTTAATAATAGTATGACATTGGTTGAATATTTTTTCAGGGAAGCAATTTACGTGGACGGGAGTTCAACTTAACCATGTATTGGAACGTAATGCCGCTAACAGGGGGCATCTTCACAGGTTCAAAAGTTCTAACAGGTTTCCGACTCCCATCAGAGTATACTCGGTAATTACTTCCATACCCAATAATGGGGTGTCGGGAACGATAGTGTTTACTGGGTGAGCTAAAACCCTTTGAATGAGAAGAGGTCAACATCGAGAGCAGGAAGCTGCAAGTATGTTTGCCCCATGGCATATTTATTCTTCTTTCGTGGCCCATTATTGAGTCAAAAGTTCACAAGAAGTCTCTGATGGTGCGAACTGTCCCCTGAAGGACTGTCCTGGTGATATATCCTGTTCTAGTTAGGGCCGGCCTTTCATTGCTTGCGTAAGTTCGAATGAGCATGAAATTGATTCCATGTGAGCAGGCATGCCTTTTCCCAGAGCAATTTCGAAGAGCTAAAGCCTCGGGCAGCCATTTTTAGAGAGTAGGATCTTATGCACTTCTTTGTGATTGAATATCGTGTGGAGCAATCATCTGCAGCCATCTAAATGAGCATGAAGCCAGTTCTATCCGAGCAGGCTTGCCTTTTTTCCAGAACATTTTTGGAAGAGCTGAAGCTTCGGACACCCATTTTCAGAGAGTATGGTTTTCTGCACTTGTTTTTGAATGAAAATTGTTTAGTATAATAATCTGCAGCCATCAGGCACAGGAGAAGATCACATATAGTGGCCTTCCTGTGCACTTCCCGAAATTTGAGCTGTGAGTTTTTCAAATAGGATACCTCAAAATACTGATCGAATGAATAATGCACTAGTAGACAAGTGAAATGAAACACGCGTGCGTTTACTGTCACCTTTGTTTTCTGAATATACCAACGACGGAACCTGCAATTATGTTACCGTTCTTCCCTGAAAGTACAATTGGCATCCATCTGGAAGAGAAGATGATTTAAAGAAACTTTATAATTTTTGGGATTATCTACCAGATGATCTTCAGAATTGAGATTTCCAGTCTGAGCAGTCGGAAAGGTTTATGCACACATTACTGCATATAGGAGACGGATTAAGGAAGCTTGTTCACAGAGTGTTCCTTCGATGCATGAGTTGTACCTTTGATACAAAGGAGAGTAAGATTCTGAGCTAATTCACTTTCGAGTCGAAGGCGAAATAACTCAGTTTCTGGGATACTCGGAGCTAGGGAGTTTGTGATACTTCTCATTTTCACCAGCGCAGATCCATCGATGCTGCACTTTCATCGAAAACCTCTGAAATACGCTTAATTCTAGTAAAAGAGAGATATATTTCTAGGAAGGTCACCAGGAGGCAAAGACTGCTAAAATGACACGCACGTAGTACTGTATGAGACCACCGCGCACGCACGGGATATCTAAACTTTACCACTAATTGTGAGATAGATAAACACTGGATAGTGTACCAATAGATACTCTTTTAATGATACACATGCACCATTTGAAAAATTGAAAGTATGACAGCACGGAATTGCTAGGTTACGTTAGCATTGCAATGTACAGAATTGTTTTAGTGCACCTGAATTGTCTAAGTTTATAAGTTTTACTAACAGTAGAAATTAATGATCTCTAAGGAAGAATTGCTGCACGCTACTCCTAATCATGTAGAAGACATATTAAAGCCATAAGTACCTCTCTTGCATAAAATTCTGGATTCTCGTGGAACAAAAAATTGGCATTATCTATGCATCTCTAGAGAGATAAATATGCCATTTTTTTGCATGAATGTCTCTGTGGATATATACATCCATGGCCAATCGAATGTAATAGAATCCTTAGTGAAAATAATGATATGAGTGTGATTTGCAACCGTAATTTTGTCAACAATAACTTTAGATCTGCCATATCGAGGAAAAATCTAAAGCCTACATATTTTTGCTGACATATTTCTGTTGGAAACAGATAGTCAAAATTGAAGGTGTAAAAACAGCGATAATGATTGGTTTTATGGTCTCTATAAAACTGATAGATCTGCAATAATATAAAAAAGATAATGGATAAAAAATCATCATCTCAAGAATTCCTGTCTACAGAATATCTATCATGCGATACATACATATACTATTCCATGGAAAAAGATGCATGAACATCGTTAATTGGTAAATTAATAAATTGAGATCAAGTCCGTTAGCCTTGGAGTCTTGACCAAGTGTGAAACATATTATATATATATATATATATATATATATATATCTCGATTGATAATATATTTATTCTTACAAAATTATAAGATTAAAATCTAATAATCACATGTATGAATTAAAGATGATCTGAAAAATATACAAACAAAAAGTTACATCAAAGATTTGGAACACTAAACCGGGTTATCTAACTTTATCTTGGATTCCCGATTGAATCTCATGAGACCTGGCCAACCAATCTCAAACTCGTTGTGGCGAAAAAGCAAGTGGAACAGATCGCTGCTCAGGGTTTGACTACATGCTGGATTCTCAGTGCACGTCTGCAAAATGCCGGGCTCAACGATTTTCCACAGCTTCAATCCACTTCCTGATTTTCGGCTTGGAGCCTAGCGCTTTGTCACGTTCTAACATGGCGAGTACAGTCTGTGCGTCGGCTCGAAGGTGAAACTGGAAGTGAAAAGAAAAGTCCTTTGTCTACTGCCAACAGGGAATGCAAGAAATCCAAACAGGCAGCAATGCAGAAAAGTGGGATGTTGAATTATTGAGTCGATCTCACGCCACGAAGACCAAGATTTTATTTATCCACAGACAGTTAAGTGGCCTGAATTCGCCACTCAGCAGTGCGTCAGCGATTTTGGGCTGACATGCACGCACCCAGCAGAAGAAAAGGGTCTCCTTCTGTCATGAACATCTTCTCCAAGCTGCAAGTGGGCTCCATACAACTTGAGTGCCATTTTTGGAGATCGCCATGTCTTGAATACGCTAATTGAGGACGTACACCAGCTCCACAATCAAGTTCTACTCATGAGTTACGACGCATTTCAGATACAAATCCCAAATACAAATTCATGCACGCCAGTTCGTGCGCTACATACAAGGAAACTGCTCGTTGACATCATCTATTTGTCTTCTACTGCTTCAGAGTATGAGCCTCGATTGAACTTCAAAACAGAGCCATGTTACAACTCCGCGGGAATCAACTACCATGACCCCAGTAAGGCTCGCATCTACAAACTTTCTCAAGTGGAAATGGAGAGAAAGTATAAGCAATGGCTTATGCAATGTAAGGGGGAGCAAAAAGTTCCCAAGGAATGATCGATAGTCCTTGAAATTTTTTTCTGGGCACCTTTCAAAGTCCCATGAAATTCCCTGCATTTCCCATAGATCCCTGCTACGGGACTGCCATAAACGTTTACGACTGAAACCTCCGACTTTGAAGTCATATGTGTCGATTAGAATTTATTTTTTTGTAGTTTCGGATGAGAAAGAATGCTGGAGCTGCCAAGGTAGGAATTGCGAGCAGTTGGACGAAGATTTGTCTGATACCAGCCCATCAAAAGCTCTATCTTTCTCATCTGCGGGATACCTGGATCGAACGTGTTCCATGAATCCTCAGATCCCTGGAACATGCCTTCAAAATAAGTGAGCTTCGAAGTTATTTTGACATCGATATCGCTTTTTAAATTCGAGTAGCAAAACCTTCGAACTTCAACACACATCTTCATTGTTAGACGTGCATTCTGGTGGCGGAGCAGGTGAGACTGCTTGCATTCAAGAGAAGCACCGATGCTTAGTAGACGTGGTCAAAAAGCTCGCTTCGTTCTGCTTCAGACCATTTTCTGAGCTTGTTGCGCTCATGTCGGCCATTTTTGGAAGGAAGAGGAGGAAGCAAAAGCAAGGGATGAAGGAATTGACGATGTAGAAGGCATCATATATTGAGGTAAGATGCTTTTCGGCTTCATCTGCGCCATCATGATATGATAGTCTCCTGTTGGGAACGAGAAGTCAGCAGTTGCAGCGATGGAATCACGTCAGGATCGGACGAGAACGAGCCTTTTCTCGCAGGCCCAGCGCATTGGAGCTCCACAGATGTGAAGAGAAACTCACCAGTCTCACAGCCATCGAGACGCACAGTTGTGCCCAGCGTTGTCAGTGCGCATCGCGAGATCATCTTCGACGAGAGCAGCAACTGGGCTCGATGGCGTCTTAGCAAGCCCCCACTGCATTTCCTACTCGCGTCCCGCAAATGCCAACGGAGATTACGTCCAATTTCGTCGTCACGAGGATTTGAACTGTCGGACGATGAGCTGCATTGCATACCCGATGAAATAGCTCCTATTGCCCTCAACTCAGAGCACCCCGGGGGCTACGCAGCACCATCCAAGGTGTTGTTCTAGGTCCACCGAGTGGCATCGACAATGGCCACGAAGTTATTGCTCTTTCAAGAGTGAAGAGTGAAATTTGCTCCAGACTGCGTTCGAACAAAGTTTTGGAGCAGAAGCGAGGGCAAACCGAATCGTCAGAGACTGTTACCGAGATTTGGAGGGCTTTGATTTGAAGCTCCCCTGCTGATTCCTTAATTCGTATTCGAGATATTACAGTCGCAAATCGACGATTTTAGCAAATCCCAGGAGAAGGTGAAGACTAGAAGACTCTGTTGCCATGGCTGCCATTGCTCCTGCCGTTTACGATTTAGTCTGAGATTGATGCAGTTCCCATTAAAAGTTCGACGTCTACTTAAGAATAAGTCGCAAGCAGCTGACGGATCCAGAAAAGACAGTCAATCTGAGACCGAACATTTGCATCGGGACCCATGTCTCACGTGATCCGACACTAACGGCCCTCATTCTTCAAAAGTCCACGCGCAAATACAAGACCAGACAAAAGGCAGCGACCGCTAACGTCTCCCAAACTCGGATAAACGTCTGTACCGGTCAAGACCACATGCAGCTCGGCGCAACGACTGAGCCGTCCCCTCGAGCGAGAGAGACGATGGTCGAGAGCAGGATTTCAGACTCGATAATGAACTTTGAAGAAGAAGAAGAAGCTCGAGCCTCGTGATCGATCAGGGCCACGGCTCTGACATGCTGAGCCTGATGATGAGTTTTGTGGCAGCAGTGCCAGCATGCGTCTAGGATCTCTAAACCTTCTCTCTCTCTCCCTGATTGAACACACGAGGAAAGAAGTTCTTACGGTTTGACGCATATTGACCGAATCATGTTCGTTCTTCAGACGCTGAGAGAGGCTTGCAGGTCAAGTTGTTCTTGAGCAAGGAAAAGAAATGAATGAGTAAGTGAGTGAGTGAGTGCTGACAGTACATTCTCCATTGACTTGGGCGCCGACAAGCACTCGGAATCACTCACTTTTGTCACTCTAGATTTTGTCGGTTTTCAGCTCATCCTTGGGCTATGAACGGCCCCATTGCATTTACAATACCAAAAGGCTTGCTTTCCGTGCTGCGAGCTGTTGCTGTGCCTCCTGTCTGCTCTCTCACTTGACTCGTGATCCATTGCACCCATCGTTTCTGGCAAGGTGCTATTTGTTGCCTCTGGATCAGCGCTCTCGACTCTGTCACACTTTTGCCTGCTCCCTCGGCTCCAGATCTGATCTCATCACTAGATTTCATCCGTTTGACTCTCCACGA